TCCTAAAATATCTAATTTTATGACTGCTCCGGGTACCCCTAGTATTGGTACATTAATATGCTATTATTTTTTTTAAAACATATATATTTGAAATTTTTTTTGCTTATCCTTATAAATGGTGTTTATTAAATATTCATACCAATTTTCATCAAAATACGCCTAATTAAAAATGACAATAAACAGAGTGTCTCAATAATTTCCGAGCAGCCCTCATACAGTATTTGACCAGTATTAAGTTCTCCACATACAATAAGCATTAAAATGATAATGACTTTTTTACTGTTTTCTTTTTGTTTACCTGGTCTCGCTCCTTGACAACTTCTTCAAACGTCTGCTGGGATTCATTCACCGATCTCTCTTTTTCACCTTTCAGATGAAAATAAACAATATGTAAACTGTGAAAAATTCAACTTTCTCAGACATACATTCTTTATCTAGTTATCAAATTCAAGTTAAGTGGGGGTTTTAAATTGTTTAAAACCAACTTTTCTCAACTCACTATGTAACTGGGCAATAGTCTTTTCAAACTCAGCAACAACTGCCCTACAAAACAAAGACAGCAAAATGCATAAATACAAATAAATTAATTCACGCATTTTAACGCATATACCATTTCCTATTTCTAACGCAAAATCACGCATATACCGTTTCCCCGCAATCACGCATTTTCTCGAACTTTAAAAAGTTCATTTAATCTTAAATTTAATGGCAATTTCTTTCTATTTTATACTTGCAAAAATCTTAAGAAATAAGAAAAGTTATTTTTGTATAAAAAATATTACGACATAATATTATTTGCGCTTTACTTTAGAGAAACGTGTACCACGCTAAAAGGTGCTTGGCAATGCGGGGAAATGGTAAGTTTCTATTTCTATGACGTGAACATTAAGTGTATGTGGCATAACAGTTCAGTAAGTTGTAAAGAGTTAAATTCCTTCAATACAACCCTTTTCTTACTTGATCTGATCATAAATACCACATTCAAAGACTACAATTTTCATTAATACATTAATATATGCACAACTTCCTACTACCATCCCATTTTAAATTGATCTCAACTATACTTTCCAATCAAGCTTGACCCCATCATCATTAAAATATTCACTACCTTATTCTATACTGACCTAATCAACACTAGTCTACCCTATTCACCTCAATCATCACCCTTTTCTACACTGACCCCTAAATCACTACCTCAATCTAGACTGACCTCATGTCCTCATTAGTTGCCTTGTACAGTTTGTTTTGTTCCTGTAGCTCCGTTATGACTTTGTCCCGAGCCCCCAGTTTCTGGCTCCATTCTCTCTCCTTGTTTAGGAGTCGAGCCTGAAAGTCCAGCTCTAACTCCTGCTTTATTTTGTTCACATCAGACTGTGAGTATTTTAGCACCTGTTGAAAATTAATTAATTAAAATTTATATTTTTACAAAAATATAAAGACCTAAACATTAATTTAACATTAATTTAACACAATTTCACAACATTGAAAATAAATTTTGATTTTGTTTTTCATGATTATGGATAATTACCTACAATTGATTTTGGGGTATATGCATGCAATGAATACGATCTAGTACCCATGTTAATGAGTATCAGATAATCAGAATCTACATAAATTATACCATATATGAATCCCTGTAATATTCCCCCCTTCCCAACTTTATTAAGTAGGCTACAAAAATATATATATTGATAATAACAATTAAATTTATCTATAGATTACAAAAATACCATGATATTTTATTTATGAAATAAATGAATACCAAGTCTTATTTTTACAAAGTATGGGGTATGGGGAAAAGGGGGAAAGGATCAATTTCATTAAAACCAAAAAAAAATGTTTTAAATAGAAAATGTTTTAACACCTGTTTCAGAAAAACAAATCTTTACATATATGTATTAGTTACATTGTCACAGAGTAGGGTGGGTGTAGATAAAATGAACACGGGTGCTGTAACAAGGTGTTAGTCTATTAACCAATCACCATCCAGGTCAAAGTTCAACAAACAGGTGATCATGTATTACATTGTGTGAGGACACACAAAATCTACTGTTCTCTGAATCTAAAAAACACAGCTGTATTTTCTATTTCCTGTACTATATATGCAGTAATAGAAACTTGATCTTCAAATTTTTCTCTGTGTAAAAGCAGTTCTATATCCTTATGAAATGAAAATTTCTTCACTGAAAGCAGGAAGTCACAACAGCCATGTTTGATATAAATTGGCTTAACTGTACAGCAGAGTTCTAAAGAAACTAAACAAGCAACAAACTTTCATAAAAAAAAAAAATTTTATTTGTCTTATTTCAAGTGAAATAGTTACCTTATCCAGAGGTAGGTATATGTATTCATGAAATTTACATCAGTAAAAGAGTAGAAAAACCAGCACTGACTCTTTTAAAGCATCAGTCATGTTTCATCTTACACTAATTGGCTTAAGATGGATTCAGAGAACAGTAGACAAGGATACAGGTATTTTAGCACTACCTAGGTAAGCCACACACATCTACCTTATTATTGCTGCTCTGTTCCTAAAGTAATTACAGGTACAACACAGGTAAACACAGGTTAATAAGGTAATAATTACATCTAACATTTAACTCTTAATCTACATGTAAGTATAAAGTACAACTAAAAGCATCAATACAACAGGTTTGCACTATCATAACATGACTTTGGATTTTCTAGGTCTAACATTATTGTACAAATTAATTGATATTTACTAGAAAAAGCATATTGGATAGACACATACAAATGTAGGTTCTATTTCTATGGAAAAACTAAACTGAAATTCTACAATATATGTATAATGTCTACACTTGTCTTGAAGATCGTGATTAAGTTTCACAATAAGTGAAAAAAATAACATACTGTTATAATAGTTACAGTGTTTGTACAATGTATAATAATTCTGCCTGAAATTAGCTGTATATCAATACATTTTTTGTGGTGTTATACACCCAAGTTTGAATATCCCTCTGAGAAGAGAGATAACTCCAGAATAAATTAAATCCAAAATACCTGAAAATTCATTTCATCAGGTGAAGTCTAAACAGCCATCTTACTGAATAACTATTTTAGGCTGTAAACCGATTTTTTCGTTGTGTTGTACATTATATGCTTACTGGATGTACAATGTTATATCTGTTGAGATCTACATACCTGGACTAGATGTACAATATTGTTATCAACCGGAGATTTCGCCTCTGTCATTTCTTTACCATCCTGTTAAAAACAATTTAAGACAACCCATTCAATCAGACAGTCATTTTCTGTTATGAATTACAGTATATATTAAGTTTATAAAAACTGCAAACATTTTTCATGCAGATATCCTCTTTTGGGAAATAAGGTGAAAATTTATTTCTTGTTTCCAATTCAGATATTTTCTGATTTTGACAACACCCTCTTTTAAAAAATATCATTGTTGATCCTTGAAGTTAACTAGATATCGTGATAATATAGATGAGAATATTTCTTAGAGATAAATCTTCAAAATAATCTATGAGCCAAATTTCATGCTTTTAAAGTTTAAACTGCATTGGACAAGAAAAATATGTTTAAATGCACTGATACATCCATTCTAATCTACCAACTACTAATGCTGCAACTATAGACAAGACTAAAATTAACACACATATGTATGTTAAATGCTAACTTTCCAAAGTTCTGTGCACTCACAGTAAACCAATGCATACACATGCTCAAATAATACATGTATATAAAGCTTAATGTGTACTTTATCAAGGTTGACAGTGGTACATGTACATGTGATAACTTCACATATAATAACACACAAATAAGAATGAACTTCTGAATGGTACTCATTTTAAAACAGTACTAATGCATGGTGTTCTCTGAATATGTATCACAGAAAAATACATATGCATGTTATAATAGATATAGATATATACAGATACAAGGATATGTGACATATTATACTGAATTATTTTCTATATCTATTGAGAGACCATGAAATATACAAATGGTTATGTACAAAAGACAAGATACAATTAAGGTTTTCTGCTTAACACTGAAAGCAAGTCAAAATTTGACAGATTATAAAATGACAGTATCATCTGAATACAAGATTTTAGCAGAATTTATCATTAAAGATGGCATCAATGATTTTGGAACAGGAGAAAAAATGCAGTAGACCAGACCAGGATTTGAACCCAGGCCCCCTGAATCTTCAGTCAGGTGCTCTACCAAATGAGCTTTCCAGCCATCATTGGCTATGAATCCCGGCTGACCACTACTCTTTCTTATTATTTTGATTTATTCTTGCTTTAGAGCAATTTTCAAATATTATATATTATATTATCCTTAACAAAATAAGATTCTCGATTCACCATATCCCAAGGACCATGATTTGATCAATTTCATTCTACATTATACTGGAAGCTTGTACATAGGCTTCATCTTTCTGGTATAGTGGTTCGAAAGAAAAATTATTTTCATTAAACTTAACCCTTAATTATTTGCTTTTTCTTTATTATCTTCAGAGTTACCGTCTGAAGACATTTGAATCCCTTTCACTACAAGATACTTTGTGCCAAGTTTGGTTGAAATTAGCTCAAAATTCTGATGAAGAGTGACAGGCAATGGGCAATTTTGATCTTAAAAACACTTGAGCATTTAGTTCAGTTTAACTCAATGAAAGATGGATAAAGAGCTGAGCTTTACTTAAAGCTGACATGCACAGCTGTACTTGAACAGGTTTATAGCTCATAGTCAAAGTATGACATAGCGTCAAGACAGTTGAGTTTTAAACTTTTCACTTGCTCTGTTAAGCAACTGAAGCTTAAGTCTGTAATTGCATAGTCTTTTTTAAGATAAAACATGCTGAAAATATTTCATTTAAAATGAAAAAAAAAATCATGCAAAAATCTCAGCATAAATGAGTGCTTAAATTCACCTTTGAAAATAAACAAATTAGTTTGAAAACATCCAGTACACAAGACAAAATGCAACTCCATTATGCAACACAATGTCAGCAGATTAGGTAGAAAAAGACAGGTTATGGAACAGAAAAAGAAGGGGGTAATATATTTATCATCACAGATTCTGAAATCTGTATTTGTTGTGGAGAATACCTTCTTAGGTGGATATTCGTAAGCGTCGTAGTATTTCAATTCGTCAGTTTCATCACTGTTGTTCTGAACAGGATAAAAAATGTCAAAAAATCACTGGTCAAGCGTACAGCACTCAAAACATATGTGTTAGAGTTTATTATTTATTTTCTATTTTAAAAAACAAAACAAAATATGATTTTACAATTTCAATGATTCTTTTAACTGTTGCACACAACGTAGCCATCTGTATGAAGTTAGAACACACTTTTTTGTCTGAATCAATTAAGTTCTGATTTTGAATTATGGGTTCTTCTCTATTTACTTCAAAATAATATCTATTTTTTTTTTTTAAGTTCTCAATCCATTTTAATCAGATTTACTGTACAAAATCGTTTCAGATTTTTTAATGAAGATTTGGCTTTAAACTAGAACTGTCCAATTGGGACAAAATATCCCCCGCTGGGTTTTTCAGAAGTAAGTTTTTGCATAATAAAGATATGTATCAAACACGAATTATAAAATTTTTCTTCCAGTGACCTTGAACTTCCCAAATGACCTTGGGTCAAGGTCATGACACACCCTTGGGTCATAGGCAATCTTTGAGTAAAATAAGAACCTACCAAGTTTATCAATAAGAAAGATATGGACCGGACACAAATTGTGAAATTTTTCTTCCAGTGACCTTGAACTTCCCCACATGACCTTGGGTCAAGGTCATGACACACCTATAGGTCATGGGCAATCTTTGTGTGAAATGAAAACCTACCAAGTTTATCCTTAAGAAAGATATGGACCGGACACAAATTATTAAATTTTTCTACCAGTGATTTTGAACTTCTCCAAATGACCTTGGGTCAAGGTCATGACACACCCTTGGGTCATGGGCAATCTTTATGCGAAATGAAAACCTACCAAGTTTATCCATAAGAAAGATATAGACCTGACACGAATTATGAAATTTTTCTTCCAGTGACCTTGAACTTCCCCAAATGACCTTGGGTCAAGGTAATGACACACCCTTGGGTCATGGGCAATCTTTGTATGAAATGAGAACCTACCAAGTTTATCCTTAAGAAAGATATGGACCGGACACAAATTATTAAATTTTTCTACCAGTGACCTTGAACTTCTCCAAATGACCTTGGGTCAAGGTCATGACACACCCTTGGGTCATGGGCAATCTTTATGTGAAATGAAAACCTACCAAGTTTATCCATAAGAAAGATATAGACCGGACACGAATTATGAAATTTTTCTTCCAGTGACCTTGAACTTCCCCAAATGACCTTGGGTCAAGGTAATGACACACCCTTGGGTCATGGGCAATCTTTGTATGAAATGAGAACCTACCAAGTTTATCCATAAAAGATATATGTCAAACATGAATTTTGAAATTATTCTCCCAATGACCTTGAACTTCCCCAAATGACCTTGGGTCAAGGTCATGACACACCCTTGGGTCATGGGCAATCTTTGTGTGAAATGAGAACCTACCAAGTTTATCCATAAGAAAGATATGGACCGGACACGAATTATGAAATTTTTCTTCCAGTGACCTTGAACTTCCCCAAATGACCTTGGGTCAAGGTCATGACACACCTTTAGGTTATGAGCAATCTTAATGTGGAGTAGTAGATTCTAATGTCCCTCTGTAAGAAAGATATGGACCGGACACAATTGCACAGACAGACGGACAGACGGACAGACAAACAGACGGACAAGGTGATTCCTATATACCCCCCCAAACTTCGTTTGCGGGGGGTATAACAAATATTTCTTTATTAATTAGTAAAATGATATGTAAGAGAAAGGGATGGGTAGGAAAGATATTACACAGGATAGATGAAAATCATTCTTAGGTTCACAACAATTAAATGTTTATATGGCAAATTGTGATTTACAACATCATCTAAAGAATACTTCCTGTTACGGATACCATAATCTCAATCCATAATAATCAAATCATACACACACCCCATTCAGTATCATTAACTTCTCTACTCTCAGTCTAACATGAACTTTGCATACAGAACACAACAGATGTTAATTTCAGATGTCAACACTGTTATTATCAAGAATGGTCCATACACAACAAACATGCCTTTCTCTATCACCTCTTACTTATAAACGGCTAATGTATGAAGTGGGAAATTTATTGTTTTATCAAGATGTATTCTGTGGATATTCTTTGAAAATGTATACAATCACAGCATCAATCCATTGTAAAACTTTTCAGAAAATCATTTAAAAAATTGTGATGTGTGAAATGTGAAAAACAGACCATATCCTTTAAGACTGTTTCAGTGTAGTGCCTTACCTTATTACTTCCCCTTACACCCCCATGCTCCTCCAGATTTTCCTCCAGTACCCGAGCCGCTGGGTGTTTGGGAACACGAGTCGATGCCTTGGGTGTGGTCATTAAAGGACTAGGGCTGCTGGAAAGACAAAAGTTTCAAGAGTCCATTGTGTACTGAATTATAAAGAGAAAGCTACCAATGGAAATATAGATTAGAATATCATTTGAATGTAATTTAATTTTTTTTAAAATCAAATACATCTAGCAAATCTGAAAAGGTAGCTACATTTTTTAATTACATAATAATACTTTTATCCTAAAACATTGGCCAATTATCGAGAACACTCAAAACCATTTTACCAACACAAACCTATGTTTAAAACAATCAAAAACAGCAAAATACTTGATAAGCTTTTCATTTAGAAACTTCACAAAACAACAACAATTTTGACAATTAGTAGCCACTTTACATATTGTGTCTTCTTTCATTGCCCTGTTGTCTTTTGTGTATAGTCAGTCTACCACCCAATACACACACACACTGCTTTTTGTCAGTGTCTAAATGACTGGTATTTACTATCAATGTTTACTGTGTATTGAATTTCATTGAGTTTTTTAAACAGATTTTTAAACTGATCTCACACTGCATGATAAAGAGGTTCACATCTGTAAAAGACATACCGGGTACTTTAGATTGTCAGTTGCTTTAAGTGAAAAGTGAATCTGACAAGGATTTACAAAATGATTGCAAATTTTACACTCACAATTACATGTATACTACATGTACAGACAGTGTAGATTTGAATCAAACTAAACGTATGTATATGAAAACTTAAGAACATGACACATTAAAATTTTAAATGACAGATTAAAGATTGAAAACTGGTGGATGAAGAATCCACTAGAGAGATATGAATCCTTGCAGATTCTTTCCTCCTCATCCAATCATTATTATTCCTTTTGGGGTCAATGACTGACCCTGAAGACTACAGCAAAGCTTCCAAGTGAATCAGATCAATAATATACTCTTACTATGACCTCTACATCCAAATTCATATAAAGATGCAAACCTGAATTAATGTACATATAAACATGGCATGAATTTTCTTTGAAACTGTCAGGTATATACTGCAAGACTGTTACATAAAATTGTGTAAATTTAGTGTTATTGTAATTCATATTATTTCACCAACTTCTCCAATACTGACTGTATCGAATTTCTTTTTTAAAAAATCATATTACCAGCATATTATGTCTTAGCATGATGTTTGATTGCATTACTGAATGGTTGCAATATGCAGACCTATAATGACAAAATCAATAACTATTGACATCTTCTCTGGTAACTGTATAACACTGATAACTCATAAAACACCCTACGAAATTTCAGATCAATTAACCTGCTACAAGCAATATGACATAACAGCTGCATTAAGCTGTGAGGGAATGTGAGGTCGACTTTGTGACTGGAAACAGAAGGCACTTTATCACTGTTAGCCAGACTTTCCTTATGTTGGTTAATGCTATTTTCATGTCATTCTGACAAAATTATGGCATGGGTATTTATAAACTGAAGGTAACTATAAAGGGAAAGTAGAAAAACAAAGGAAAAGTTTTATTTTAAAATTTCATAATCAATGCTCGATTTAACATTTTGTGAATTACTCAGGAAATATTGAGTGTTATCACTGAAATTCATTTACATGTCTACCCTCAACACTGAATAATTAACACATTAAAAAAAATAAGAATGTTTATTTTTTTAAAAGCCCCCAGAATACAAGTCTATAGTGAATGTCATTAATTTGACAATTTACTGATCTGACAGGGCATATTCTAGTATCTTTTAAAATTAAATAAGTTTATGTATGGATTAGGTGTATTCCTATGAAAAACATAATGCATAAGCATTAATTATTAATTAATGAATGTATAGCACAAGCACAGTGCAATATGATCAGGAACAAACAGCAGAATTATTGTAAGATAAACAAACATCCACAACATTTAAATCTCTTACCTGTTAATTAAGTCTTCAGGATCAACACTGGATTCCACAGGAGGAACATCTACCTCTGATTAAATAAAAATGTACAACCGATGAAAACAAAGTATCACTCCATCATAACCACAGCTTAAATCTCACCAGAAAATCTCGCTAAAAAATCTCACAGTGCAATAACATGGCACGTTCTGGCTTGTGCTTGTGATATAGGTAGGCAGTGTCGTATCAATACCTTTTAATCAATACTTGATCAATACGTTTCCATTCGGTCTGAAGTGACCTTTAAATACACTACAATGCCTCTGTTACCCTTTACACCTAGAGATTTAAAAATCCCCCGGTTATGTCGCGGAAACTATGGAGGAGCAAGTCTACAGTAGGAAAAGATGTCCGGACCATTAATTTTTAAAGCAAATATTGATTTTCACTGGGATCCGCTAACTGCCTGTAGATAAGACTATGAGGAACTTGTCACAGCAGTCGGGGATTAAGGAGGGGATAATCTCCCTTTTTAATCTGTCCTCAGTCAAGGACATGGATTATACAGGGTGCAATGAGAAGGTGGACCAAGTCATGAAGCGGCCCCCGTGACGTGAGGCGGGCAGATACAAGGTGAGATAATTATAATGCTCTGTGTGTGTGTGTGATACACTGATGTAGCCGGGACAGATCAATACCTCACTATCCTTATAATGTATTGTTTACAACAGCCCCTTATGCTTAATTATGGTGTTTCTTCACTATCGTTTAAATATTACTATAATTATACTTATCTTACAGAATAATTCATCAAAATAATGGGTCAGCGTGGATGTCTGCATCATGTACATTGTCCACGCAGTCTCTAAAGACAGTTTGCTAGGATTGAATTATTTATTTTTATTGTATACAAAAAGATTTTGACATGGCTTGTATAAGAAAATTCTTTTTTTAAATTGATGAATACCAGATTTTTTCCTTGGATTTTTAAAAGGGTTTGTGAATTTGCTTGAGATTCATAGATTTTCAACGGCTGTATACTTTTAACATGTTTAATGTTGTCTGGGTTAAAAATTTGATACATGTATAACCTCACTGGGGGTAATTTGACCTTGAATCCATTATAGAATTATTCTTTTAGCCATGTATTCTGTGAAATTAATGCTGTCTTTCATTTATTATCAAAAGGTTAAAAATTACAAAATACAGTAAAGGCTCATTATCTCTAACTTTATGGTATCAAGAAAATTCTTTGTAATATCTTAGGAGTCAAGATATCTGAAAATGCTAAGAAATACTATTAACCACTAATATTCTCGTCATCTTTTATTCGCAATTCGTAAGTTTAATATCGATCCGTGACAATTAATTTTCTTGACTGAGGAAATATTCTCTATTAAACATAATTCTGAATAAATGGTTTGGGGTGATTAATATTTTTGATATTAAGTCACGAAACTCGAAAATATTTCTCGCTTTCAAATAAAAGTTGGTTTACAGTATATGCCATTACCATTCCAAATAATTAAAATTAAGCAATGGAATTATGGGAAATTTAACAGAATATACATACAATGTGGTAATGAAAGAGTAAGGACATGTACATGTGTACATACACCTTTTCTGTTAACCAGACAATTTCTGTATAGTCCCCTGATTATCAACAAGGAGATGATATTAAAATTTTTAACAAGATATACTGTAAATGTATCATATTTAGTGTGTAAGATATTTGGCAGAAATTGTTTTTTGAGCTAGTTAACATGGATTTGATTAAGCGCATTTCTCAATGTTTTCATTTATGTATATATGGGCAAGGCATTTAGCAATGTACTTGAATTAGGGGAAGTTTCTCTCTGCCAAAAGCGCTAAAAATAATACACAAACGTAGTACATTTACAGTATTTAGATTTCAGTAATCCTTGTATCACCTCTGTGCTGAAACAAATTAATCCTTATTTTTAGTTGAGAACAAGGAGGATGAATTCCAAATACCCTCTCAGGCCAAAAATAAAATAAAATTAGCTTTGTTTGGCGTTGCCGGCTGACTCAGGTAAATCGATGGGGTCCGAAGAATTTTTTCAACTGATATATATCGTAATTTTTTTTCGTTATATTTATCTGGATTTAGGTGTATCGGTACATTTGAGTAATATACAAAATGGGAAGAATCATGTAAACACTTGATTGATCAAACAGTTTTCATTTAAAACCATCTATGTTGTGTTGAATATGCGTTTCACAAATCCAAGCATGGCTGTCAAAAGTGGTACTGTAATGTAAACTCGGTATAACAGAAGTTGATGGCATGACTCTCCGCAGAAATGTATTTTTAAGTGGCAAAAATACACTGACAAATATAAGTTATACCAGTTTAAAATAGAAATTTTAAGGTGCAATGTCCTGTCCGATTTCCTAGATGAATCTAGCAGCCATGCTTGGATTCGTGCATATGAAAACGACTTTATGCCAATTCAATGTCAACGGTTTTTATACCATGTATATTAAAGGCATAAAAGGTTTATTATATTAAACTAATAGGGTTTGGACATAAAAAACAACTGGGAATCAATTTGGACTGCAGTTGGTGCTAAACAATAAGAAACCTATGACGCCTGGATACTAATAACATTTCTGAAATTGAAAAAAAAAAAATTTCCTTTACCTACCGACCCAAACCTATAAAGACTGAGTCGGCAACACCAAACCAACAGTATTTTAATTGTGGCCTCAAAGATCTTCAGAGATATGAAATTACATGTAAAATAATCATATGGTATACATGAAAAAGCAGCCACCCATCCCCCCCTCCCAAAAAAAACCCTCATAACTTGATTGATTGTTGAGTGGACTGAACATGAGGCAATCCCCCCCCCCCCCCCCCCATTTCTGCAATATATTTGTTCCCTTAAATTTTGATTTGTTCAGGAATTATATTTTATGTCTTATAATCATCTTAATTCAAAAACTCTAAATTCGACTCCTTTCTTTATGAATAAGTTTATATACATGTAAGCCTCGATCTCTCCCAAATAAATAAATACATTCCTGAATCTCCTCATGAATCTTTTGACTCAATTACATATTATACATATTAATTCTGTACGCTGATGAAAAGTTATCAACTAATAAACATGGAAATCAAACACTAATCATACATCTGTGTAGCACAAATCCATTTTTAAAGCTTATTTTATTTTATTTAAACTTTTATCAAAGCAAAAAGAAAAAAAAGAAATAGAAGGATCAAAAATTGCACATTTATATCATGCACAGTATATACAAAACTAAATTATTCATAGTAAAAGTATAAAATTAATAAGTAAAACAACTTTCAATAATCATGATTTGAACGAATATTTCATAAAGAGTATCATTCATTGTTGGAACCAACAAATGGAATTTCTTTCTTTTCCACTATGCATTCTCAAAACTTTCACCACAGCTTTGTTATCTGTCTTACATAATTACCACTTTCCCTCTTACCCTACAGTATCTAACATACAACTACATTTTTAACACTTCCTTCTGTAATCTAATTATCTACAGTTAAATAATCAGCAAAATTCAGCACTGATACCCTCTCTAATCTCCAACACAATGGTTCTATTTTGTATTAGATTTGTTAAGAAATGTTCTGGACTGGTGCTCTAAATTTACAACATAATAAGCAAACTATCTTATAAAGCGGTCACCGTAATAACGAGATTCCACTATATCACACTCCTTTTGTCCATTAATAATAATCTTTATAAAATAGTTACAAGAGACCCTTTCTTACCCTCTGTTTTTTCTTCCTGAACAAATTCCTTGTCATAAACACTCACTTCTCCATGTTCACACTGAATAAGAAAAATAAACAGATACTTACAGACAAATCTTTACATAAAAAAATCATTTTTTAAATTTTCTGTTAGTACATCGAGACAAATAGAATTTTTAAGCACTTTTATCCAATAACTTGTACAGATGGGAAAAGTTCTAGTGCATGGCATATGCATATGACTGAAAATGGACAAGAAGTATAGCATTTAAAGGACCAAAAAATCCAAATATCTCAGTGTTATGTCAAAACACTCATCTAATATAGATCAGAATTACTTTTATGCATTCTTGAGCAAAATATATTCATATAAATTAAAGTATGTGTACACATACAATAAGATGTGTCCATTTGACAAATTTTATCCATACATAGGATACATTTACATGTATTTAAAAATTTTAACCAAGATTTTTTAACTTGTACTAGTATTTCAATAAGCTCCCATCTTTGAATTCATTAGAACAATGAATTTTTAACAGCAGTAAAAAATCATTACGTGCAAAGATAAACATTTTTTTATCCAAAGAAAGTCAAACATTTCAAGAGTTATGTCCCTTAAAATCTGTGGCCTACAGTCTTTTTTCAGCTGAAATGGTTTATTTGCCAATACTTTATCAGACTATTCCTATGAATTAACTCAAATCACTGTTAATATGATAAAAATAATAAATTGTGATACATTTACTAATTGCATCATATAGTTGCTGGGTTTATTACAAATTTTGTACAGAAAACAAAATGAATACAAACTTCTTAGTAGAGTAAAGAATGCTGCAGGGCCTATTTTGTATGTAAACGTATCATTTTATTCACTGATACATGTACCAAGAACATTGCTTTAATACTCTCATTTTTAAGCGGTTAGCTTCGCTAGCCGCTATATGGCATGTGTCGGCAACCGGAATACTCCATAAGGCGCTACCTATCGACAACAGAAACTTCAACAAAGCCTCTACCAATGATTTGTTTCTAACACATATAACATATGTTAAATGATATCAAGACTATCAAAACAACATAATCTTTCGGTTTTTAATTTTTATCTGATTTTGTTTGTCAATGAAATAAATTCATTGTTGTGTTTTAAAATTTTATGTATAGGAGCATTTGGTGTTGAGATTAAATTTCCATGACGTAAGCTGATGGCGATCGGGCCCTGTGACGAAATTTGAAGTCAGCATGAAGTTTAGCTGATAACATTATCAACGCGTTGAATTAAAACTTAAAGCTGAACACGATTCGTAAAAGAAATGTATCCGCCATTTTAGTTCCCGAGACTCGCTACCCTGCAGACCCATATAAATAGGGCAGGAATTAGAGACTGTTCAGTTTAATCAGTCGACACCGGTGTAGACGGACGTATGCTATACAGGACTTGGTAGCCAGAATAATATCGTTATACTTCGTCTAATGCAGGAAAGTAAGATACCAAATAAATTTAAAATTATAGCTGTATAAGTCAGAGCAGTATACAAACAGCATAGACAAAAGTAACTGCAATAAAATATAAACAAAGGTAATGCAAAATAACCAGCACGAACATGGGTCGCCATTCCACGCCGATACCTGTGACAATAAAGCAGTCAGGTGTAACGAAAGCGACGAGTATACCCTAGTATTGATGTATCGTAGATAATGCTATCAAAAATGGCGTATGCCTATTTACGAGTCGTGTTCAGCTTTAAGGAAGAAATATATAGCGAGAAATATCATATTTGAACCCAATGCTAGACGGAAACCAGTAGGCATATCCGATTTATGTGTTAAATTGAAGCCTGAATTGAACAGGGGGTCAAAATGGCGTTGCACATCTTGTGTATCTAAACTGTACATAGAGGGGTAGAATGTTTCGATTTTTGGCTAATTTAGAGACTTACTGATAAAAATTTAGGTGCCTGTGATTAATTATAAGGCATCCCTCATGAACAATAAATATTTGATCGAATTATGCTACTGGCACAGAAAGGACGGGTTAATTACTGGCTTAAGGGATTGAAGGTTATTACAGACTGCAAAACATCGGAGAATCTCTCGATCGAGTTTCATTTTCCTTGCCAAAATATTTAGTCATCCCTTTTATTAACTAAAGTAATACTAGTACATGAAGAAAGCTTTATATATGAAAAAACTGAATACATCTGCAGTGTTCTCCATCATTTGAAAATTTACTGTGTTGCAGAGTTTACGTGAAGCACTAAATTTTTGCGCTATTTTCGAGATCAAATTCGCAACTGAATTACATTTCATTAAACTTATATAGGAACATATGCGCACACTTTTTAAAATAAATCACTATTTCGATGTACAAATATTTTCGTCATACATATTGATTAAAGTAAAAACACGTGCTATGAAAAGCAGGGGAAATTCTCATCGATACAATCAAACTAATTACCACTTTTGAAAGTAAGTTTGTTGTACTTTTTTGTCAGTTTTTTTCATCAAATTACCGAATTGCAAAGGAAAAAAAATAGAACCTAATAATAATAGAAAAAAGGGAAACTTCAAGAAAGGATGATATTCTTACGAGTTCCTTCAAAATGTGTCGCATGCATAAAATTTTAATCGTTACTGTGTCGTAGAAAATTTTGCTGTGTCGGGAGTAACACAGTAAAACAGCTCATGGAGAACCCTGCATCTGTAAGCTGTACAGTTATTGATTACTTCTATAATGAAACGTTTGTCTTCTTCTTCTTTTTTCTCAATTGAAATTATTTAAAAGATGATGAAAGCTTTGTTTCCAGGGATAAATTCTGTACTCACTTTAATCATTACAAACGATTATAAACGTCACATTATTTAAATATTTGCCAAATACTCAGTATATGTTCGTTTATATATATCGTGCTTACAAGACTCTTTTTTGAATTATTGTCCTGTACCATTTACTAATTCGAACATTTATTGTATTTAAAGTCAATAGTGTACATTTCTTAAAACTTTATTATCTTGTTTACTTGTCTTTCTTCCTGTGAGAGAAATAGTTCATAATATTTATAAACAGATGTACTCAGTATCTGTATCAAAATACATAATGAACGGTCTCAAATGAGAAACGGAACCTTGAAAGTTCCGGTGCTTAGAAGTATGCATCCCCAATAACAAGTCACACCTGCAGACCCGCAGTGAGACTACGAAATTGCATCCCTCTGAAATTAAATTAATTTACAAATTCTCTGCTCGTCCATCCGTTTTTCTCAGACTAGCCAGCTAAAGATCAATGTACAGAACTCCAAATAAATTAATCTTTAGAATTTGAATTATCATTACCGTCTTCCTTGGAGGACGGTATTGTATAGTTGAAGTTTTTTTACAGTCGTCGGACTATGCACTTCCTCTCTTTTGTGATTGGTAGAAATTGCATGATGAGAAAATTTTCAATTATTTCATTGGTTGAAACGCTGTTCAAGGCAAGGGAGATAACTTTCTGATGATATATTTTTCGTACAATTCCAATCTTAAAAAAATGACAAAACGAAGAACAAAATCAGCAGTAATTAATTCTTTATAACATAGCGTTTTTACTGTTTTATAGTGATAAAAGTGTTTTATAGCGATAAATAAAAAGGTCTCTTAAATTTCATTATAAATAAAATTTGATAGTTATTGCTTGCAAGCTTTACAATTTGTTATTATTCTTTTCCCCTTTCTTGTTTGAAAAGTGAATGGGAATCAGCCGAGGTTTGCCGAAATCTCTCGGCCAGTCAACGTTTACGGAGATGACCGAGCGACAACCGTGGTAGGGCTAATGCCCGTAAAAAGCTTATTTAGAAATACAAAATCAAGAAATTCAAAAGAAGTATAGATCTGTTTACTATTTAAAATTGTTGCTAAAGACGGTAAGCTTTTTTGAAAAGCTCTACTTGTTTTATTTTCTTTTTGAGTAGGCTTTACAGTTACCTAATTTCAGAGTCAATAGAGCATGAAAGACAATTAAATTTGCAACATCAATTTTTTTTTTGTTCTGAACACATTTGGACGCTACCAATGGAGACAATTGGGAAGAATGTTTTTGAAATTGAACTTCCTGTCTTTCAGCTAAAAAATCTCAGGTTGATATTTTGAAACATACATTTGTGACATCAGTCTGGGATGTTATTGGTTTTTCCATTTAGTTAAGTACTACAAAAGTCAGTGTGTCTACTTCTTCGCTGATGACATTGGACAAAGATATGCATGCTTACTTTAATATCATCACTGAATGCATTTTTTGTTATTCCACATGAAAGCATGCTAACCGCTTTTCAGTACTTTCAGTACTTTGATTTAATTTCTACCAGTGTTTGAAATAACCATGTCGGGATGACTGCTGAATATAAAAAAAATGTTGCCCAAAGAGAACATTTACATGTACTGATGCCCGACTGGATGTGTTAAAATTTCTGATAATAGAAATCCATATACAGTGTATCAGAAAAAAACTCTCTCATATCAGCTAATAGTATTGATAGCTCAATTTAACAATCCAAAGGAGAGAGTTTCTCAGCCAATAGGTGCAGGAGTAAAGTTATGGTGACCTAGTTCGATTCACATAATGATTAAAACAAATTAATATAAGATATTTATTTTCTCAGGCTAGTAGATTTTTAGCAGGGCTGACAACTTTTACTAGCATTCAGCCCTTCTTGTCTTGCTAATTTTATAAAAAGTTCAAGTACTATGTCCTTGACCTAATTCCCTGACCTCTAAGTAACTGACCTTTTCTTCTGTTCCATATTTATCCAGCATCTCCCAGGCTGACTGTTCATCAATTCCTGTCAACAAAGAAGACTCAGGGATGATATTGTCATTAATCCTATCTGTGTTCATTCCCATCTTACAATGACCTTCATAATCAATAATAAATTTACCCCCAAATCTCAACAAATATTTTCATTTGAAATTATATTGCTTATCATGCTCATTGCATAAAATTACAGTTCAGATTCAGAATCTATAACTATATATGTGCATGTAAATGACTTTACTGATATCAATAATTAAAGCTGACATGAATTCTCAAAAACGCAACATGTTCATCTATGTACGACTTGTTTCATACCAACTTTAGCCGTATTCCGCCATATTTCTTTCAGATACCTTGTCTTATTGTAACGATATATACCCCAATACCCTCGTTACACTTGAATGATTTTTTGGCTTGGCTATCGACTTGTGCACATCTCCGATGGTAAAACATTTGAAAACATATGGGTTGATCAAGACATTTCAAACCACACAACATAATAATCATATTTCTGAATAATTAAAGATTTGAATCAAATGTTATAAAAAAGAAAGAAAATGCAAGTTTGAAAGAAAGATTTAGTTGCACGAGTACGCATTTTTACACTGCGCCAATTTATGCAGAATAAACATGAAATAAAATGCACTAAAACCCGTAAACACACTTTGAAATTATTATCATTTGAATGGAACAAAACAATCAGCGTCTTTGATTTGCATGTTTTATGCAGACTTTGATGCATGTCGAGAAAACGCGTCGAACGCTGTAAACGTACCCATACCTGGTAATAAGATCACTGCATCGGTTCGAAGATGTGCACAAATCAAGTGATAT